GAGAGGGCGTGGCCCCGCTCCTCCTCGCCCTCCCGCACGCGGATCACCACCTTCCCGATGTGCTTGCCTGCCGCCATGTGCCTGCGAGAATTGTTTAATGAAGAACCGAAACTAATAACAGGGTCGACACCTAATTAGTAAGGAAACGTTCCAACACGTTTTCCATCTCACGCTACTGTTACGTCGACGATTTTTCACTTGTGAAAAATTAGTTGCGTTTGTGTTCAAAAACTAATTGTACTCTTACAATGAAAGTGTATATATTCTTCAGGCGATTAAATTTCTATTGCCTAATACTTTTTTACTTAAATTACAATAACATTATGTGTGCGGATAATCATCTCTTGATATATTTTTGTAGTTATTGTACCAAATAACTCATTTTTGTTGTTCGATCATTAGACATTACTACTGAAGGAGAATACTATTTGTATTATTATTACTAGTATTACTATTACCAATTTATACACCAGAAATAACTTCGGTTCACTCACTATAAAAAGTATTTGTATCAAATCATCTAACGATCGGAGGGGATTGCACTTCGATTTTAATAGAATAACATTATTTTCTAGCCATTTCTGTAGCTGAAGATATTGGCGCTCTTTTATTTTTAGTTTTATTGCTGTTGTTGAAAGGTGTGAAGCATTTTAAATTTAATTGGGAACTGTGATTGTAAAGGATGACTCGCACCTCATCGCTGTCTCCACTTGGTCGCGGGAGAAAACCTCCGCCTGTACAGGTCGCACAATTCCGCTCTTCAGCAAGTCGCTTACGCGTGTGAACAGCTCTTTGACCCGAGGACTGTCACGCTCCATGAGAACCTCGTCCAACAGGATACCGTGAACGCTCGCCTGCCGCAGAAGCAGCCGCATCCCTGCGAATGACCGCATTGCACATTGCAAATTAATGAGCAGATATCAAAATTGCAAATAAATTGATCGACCACCAACAGTCGACAGGCAAACAGAGAAGTTGCGATAGACTTGGAAAGGCTCTTTGAGACATGTATTTCGTGATTCAAAACACACATATTTATTGTGGTTGGAAAGACACCTATTTTATCACGTTCGGCGGTTGGGAAAGTCGGTTCTGCTTAATAAATATTATTTACTGATAATGTGTATAAGGTGGCCGGCCTACTGGTCAATAATTCAGAGTCAGTATTATATTGTTTAAAAAACGTA